TGGGGGGTCCACAGCTGGACACAGGACTCCAGATGTGGCCTCTCCAGTGCTGAACAGAGGGGAAGAATCACTGCCCTCGACCTCCTGGAGACGCTCCTACCAATGCAGCCCAGGATGCCAGTAGCCTTCTGGGCAACACGGGCACACTGCTGGCTCCTATTCAGCTTATTGTCCCCTGTCACCCCCAGGTCCTTTTCTGCAGATCTGCTGCCCAGCCAGGCAGCCCCCAGCCTGCACTGGTGCAGGGGGTTGTTCTGTCCTAAGTGCAGGACTTTGCACTTGTCCTTGTCAAACCTCATGAGATTTCTTTTGATCCAATCCTACAATGTGTCAAGGTCTCCCTGAATCCTAACCCTACCCTCCATCTTATTGACAGCTCCCCACCAGCTCGGCATCGTCTGCAAACTTGCTGAGGGTGCACTGCATCCCATCTTCTATGTCACTGATGAAAATATTGAACAAAACCAGCCCCAGGACTGACCCCTGGGGCACTCCACTTCATAACAGCTGCCAACTAGACATCGAGCCATTGATTACTAACCTTTGAACCTGATAATCCAGCAAGTTTTCTATCCACCCAAGACCCTGGAAGGAAAACTTGCTGACATGCTACTTGAAGAAAGAAGTTGTAAGCAGGTCAGAGAGCATCTGACCCAAAAGCAAGGAGACAGGGCGCATGCTAGCGTGAACTAGTAAACAAATGGCTGGAAGGGTGCTAAGGGGCTGGTTTCAATCCTGGGGACTGGAAGGCTGGTCCACCCCCAAGCCAGAAGCTTTCCATATCCCTGTTCAACCTTTGCCTGCTCAGCATAAGCTAAAATCTGAGTGCACCCTTCTGCACTCAACTACCTACTGTTTCTAATGCTGCATGAGGCACACTGGATCTGGACCTGATTAAACGTCCTTTTAAAAGCCACTGAAATAGATGTATTTTTTGTGATATTTGGATCAGAGCCTCTTGACTTTCCCCCAGATCTTCACTGCAGCCTGACAACCCTTTGGCTCAGGGAACCTGTTAAAAGCTATTAAGACCACTAGAACAACTTGGCTCTAGGACAGCTGAGCTCAGCGGGACCGATTCCAGGGACAGCTTCAAATCCCATCCCTCCTGCTGGCTGAGTCAGAGGTATAGGCCTCACTAGAATGACTGGAAAGGGTTAATGGCTACAACTGCCTGGAAAAAAAAAAAAAAAAAAAAAAACTTAAAACCAGCTGAAGCTTCTGGACCTAGCGGGGCCCTTGCAAAAAAACCAAAGGATATGCTCTTCTTGGTGCACGGGGAGGGGAGGATACCAGAGCCGGGAGGGGAGCGAACAAGACATGCTTAAAAAATGCATCTACACATTGCTGCACCATCATTTAGTACTTGCAAATACAAGTACTAAATGACAGCGCAGTAACCGGCGTTACTGTGGAGTAGCATCCCCACCCGGCTTCCTAGTGACGCTGGCTGCGCAGTACCTCGCTACTGCTGTGCAGTAGCAGCACATCATGGTTCATGCCCTGCAACGCTACTGTGCAGTGTGGACGAATGTCTGGTCGGATGCAAGGGCGGGGGTAGCAGTCATCTCCGAGGCAGTGCTCCCTGCCATGTTTCAGCAGAAACTCTCTCCCCGCGGCAGGGCATCACTCCGACATGCCTCTCGTCACCCATCCCTTGGATGTTACTCCTTTCCATAGGTAGTTCTGCAGACCATTGCACATGACAACATCTTTCTTGGCCCTTTGATCATTGAAAAAGATGTGTTGGCACATGAATAGGAGCACAGATCCACTCTCATCAGCGAATGAATCATCCATTCATTGCTCACCTCCACCACTGCCGCCGCCTCCTTTTTTGCCTATGCTAGGTCTACACAAACCTGGGCACAGCAGAGTTTTGTTGAAGCCTGTAGACACTAGTGGAATACAACACAGCTCTGCAGAGCTAACCAGACATATCCCTATTATACAATTGGGATGCCAGGGGATTTTTCAGTTGCCGTAACTCTCACGTTGGAGGCGTGCATTCTCTAGATCACATGCAGAAACCTTGCCAGAAGTTTTCTGCCCACATTTTGCTTCATCAGAAAAGGCTGGTCCGATCCGTCCAGAATTTGGCTTGAAGCTTCTCAGGCTTTAAGACACCATCACACTAAGGGAGAGCGCTGACAGATTCCTTGGCAAGATGGGAGATCCTCAGAGCTGCGTTGTGAACGATGCTCTTACCAACTTTACTGATGAAGGTAGCAAAACCCTCGTTTTGCAGAGCAGCCATATCATCTGGGGAGCTTTCTGGCCATGGGAAATTAAGCAGCTGGTTCCAATTCAATCAAACCAGGTTAAAAAAAAAAAAAAAAAATTACTCCTGGACCAGAAAGTTTGCCTAGGTTTAATCACATTTCTTTGTTACCATGTCTTGTGCGTGTGTCAGGTTTGATTATGTAGTTTTGGTAAGAGGGTGGACAGTGGATTTGTATGGGATGGTTTGGATGGAGAGGATCCTGTCTCAGGAAGGGGGTTGGACTAGATGAGCTCCGCAGGTCCCTTCCAGCCTGACTTCGCTACGATTCATTATCAACCTTTGAGCGTGTTAGAGAAGATCAGCGACCTTTCCTATGATGCCCACCTCGCTGGGGTCATCTGACCCCAGTTGTCTTTCCACTCAAGTGCAGCAGGGCAGGACCCGAGGATCCTGTAGGGTCCTTTCCAGCCCCGAACACCTATGCCTCTATTAGCACACATTCACCACCCGTGTCAAAGTACCTTGGCAGTCCTGGGTGAAATCCTCCTTTCTGCAGGAACACATCAGCCTCTTTCACCACAACTAGAGCCAAATACCAGGCTCGTGACTCAGCCAGGGAGGCCACGCACCTCCCCGGCAGACGGCTCTCGATCTTGCTTCATCGAGCCAGCCATCCCAGGTGAGACGAAGGCTGCCTGCCTTTTGCAGTCTGCGTCACGCGCCGCAGGAATAGTTTCAGGCAGGGGCAGATTGTTCTCCTTCTGTGAGGCGTCTCCAGCTAGACGGTCTGCATCCTCCCCTTGTAGTCTCACGTGAGAGATGCAAGGCTTGGGTTTTAACCTTGGCACGGAGGAGGACAGAGCCCACCGCTCGCTTACCTTGATCCTTGGGGCTGGTCCTGCTTGGTGCAGGGGGTTGGACTAGATGTCCCTGCCAGCCCTTGTTTCTTATGACTCTACGATCCCACTTTCCACCACTTTGGCATATGCTTTATTGGTAATGCCAGTACATTTCTCCCCCTTTAACTGAGACAGCTCTCACCATTGTGCACCAATACACTTTGCTTCTGACAGACACTGCAGGAAAGGCACTGCCCTCCCACCATTACATAAGCCATGAAAAGGGTTTTCTATGCGGCATGCTCCCGAACTCTCATTTCATCAGCGACTTACCCTGTGCAGCGCAACTTTAAAGCCTCCCCTTCTGCAATCTGCCGAGCACAAATGGAGCCAGCTTTCAGACAAGTAGACATGCACAAGAGTGGCTAGAAACCCTGAAGAAAGGCAGTGTAAACTTACCTTACATAAGAGGAGCACTCATATTTTCCCTGTTGTTCAGCCGTCGCCGCAGATCCTCTGAGCTTTGGGGCCCTGAACTACTTTGTGGCTTTAAAAAAATCACTGCTCACCACACCCACCTTTCCCTCCCACAGCTGATCGGCCGAATCCAGCCGTGCACAGATCCAGGCCTGTCTCCTGCATTCGCAAACACACACGCACACTGGGCCTCATGCCACACTTATGTAACCCCACTAAATAAACAGCGTGTGATGGTTGCCTATTACTTCTGTTTCTCAAAAAGCCGGCAGCAAGTCTACATTAGAGGAAGGCAAAAACACACACGCCACTTAGAAACAAAGATATGCATGGGAGTTTCTTCCCCACCGAGTTGTATCCCTGACTTCAAGCATCTAACGTGTCCTTCCAGCTCCCGGCCGCCTGTTTCCTTTTGGGACCTTGTGGTTTCCAGGATAATTTGCTGGACGGCTTCCACAAAGGAGTGACTTTGGTTTGCATGCATCGCGCTCACATATCACCTTCCTCTGCTGAACACTGGCCCACATCAGATCAAAACAGAAAATAAGTGCTTCCTGCTATTCAGAGCGCAGGGCCTGGGATATAACAGAGCTGCTGCCCGGTGCCCCTAGGCCAGCAGAAGAACCAGCCTGTATCAGCCATTATCAGCGACAAATGACGTGGTTTTCCACCCCAGCCCACCCATTCACGTCCAGCGACTCCCTGCACAAAAGCTTGGCAGCGTCTCCCACTCGGGCTACAATGTGCAAATCCCCATAAAAGCGCCCACTGCCTATTTACACCCCATCCAAAAAAAAAAAAAAAATGTTGCTAAGCAAAGGCTCCTGCTGTCCCTTTCTGCTAGCTGATGAGCAGGAACAAAGCCCCGTTCTTTCCCCTCCTTGGTGCTCTGACATGCTCTGAGTCGCGGGTTTTCGCTCCAGCTGTAGGCTTTCAAAAAGTGCTGAAGTCACTGGAACTTACTGGGAGAAGAGGTCCGGAGCTCATCAACTCCCGCGGTACAATGCAAAGCGGCTGCCTTGCAGATAACCAGAGACCCGAGCAGCGTTGGTGGCTATGGAGTCTTTGTGCAGACAGATTGCTTTATTGCACCGACTTCCTCCCTGCTCCCCGGATATCCACAGGGCTCCCTGGGGTGGGACGTGCACCATAACTCACTGTCCACCTTGTCAGGGAAGCTTTCTCTGCACTGATGTGCAGGCCAGCTGTCCTATACAATGAGGAGAGGATGGAAAGGGGGAAAAAATAAATAAATGAAGAGTGAGCCATGGGGTCGGCATGTGTCTGCATTGTGGAAAGCTGGAGGACTGCATAGTTAAGACATGAGGCCATGCAGTAAAGCATCTAAGTTTTATTCACCACCTATTGCTTGTGGGACTTTGGTCAAGTCTCTCCACTTTATGGCACTTTGGTCAGGTCTCTCTACTTCGGAGCCTCAGTTTTCCCCACCTGTAAAATGGGGGTACAACTGCAAGGTAAGAGATAAGACACAGGGCCATGCAGTAAAGCATCTAAGTTTTATTCACCACCTATTGCTTGTGGGACTTTGGTCAAGTCTCTCCACTTTATGGCACTTTGGTCAGGTCTCTCTACTTCGGAGCCTCAGTTTTCCCCACCTGTAAAATGGGGGTACAACTGCAAGGTAAGAGATAAGACACAGGGCCATGCAGTAAAGCATCTAAGTTTTATTCACCACCTATTGCTTGTGGGACTTTGGTCAAGTCTCTCCACTTTATGGCACTTCGGTCAGGTCTCTCTACTTCGGAGCCTCAGTTTTCCCCACTTGTAAAATGGGGCTACAACTGCAAGGTAGGAGACAAGACACAGGGCCATGCAGTAAAGCATTTTAGTCTTATTCACCACCTATTGCTTATGGGACTTTGGTCAGGTCTCTCCACTTCCAAGCCTCAGTTTTCCCCACCTGTACAATGGGGATAAACCTGTGAGGTAGAGGTGACTTTGGGAACTGTAACTCCCATTTCACATAGGGCTTGGAAATCACGGAGATGTGGGTTTGGGAGGGTCTTCAAGGGTCATCTGGCCCAATTCCCTGCAGGAAAGCGCAAGTAGAAGGTGGGATGGGACAGGAGTGTATCACGAGAAGCTTGTCCCCCCCTTGGTTGCCTGCTCAAGGCGTTCAAAAAGAGGGTGGGAGGAGATCTTTGCTCATGGGAGAGCTCCAGATGAATGCTCTCAGACTGGAGGAACGGCAGGTCTCGCTGGCAGCACCCCAGGCAGATATCTAGTGCACAGTGCAGGGCAGTGCTGCAGTGAAGGATCACTTTGCATTCCAGCTTTGGGTTTGGCCTGTGCGTGCTCCGCACAGAAACGCTCCTGCCAGGCAAGTCCAGCTCCCTGCCCAGCCTCCAACAGAAGTCACTCCGAGCTTCCAGCCCTGAAAACAACCCCCAAACTCAGCATTAGCTGTGCCTCAAAAGCCACATCGCCCCAGTGTCACGGGGACGCCATCTCTTCCTTTACCAGCAGGCATTAGCTACTGGGTCCTTCTCATTATGGCCAAAGGATCTTTGGAATTTACCACCCCTTGGAAAGTCCTGACCATTCAGCATTTGTTTCTATCCCACATCAGGCTGTGATCTTTTGCTCAAATTTTGCAGAAAAGTGTTTGGGTTTTTCTTTTTTCTTTAAGTTTGATGGAAACAAAGACAAAACTATTCCTGAATAGCCAGCACATTCCACTTAGGTCTACTGACGGATTCAAATACTTCATTTTGGAGCCCTTTCAATCCCGAATGTCATTTCCCACCCTGTTGTTGAGTTGTAGTCAGTGAATCAGGTGGCCTCATTTTACCCTACGGGCCTGCCCCGTGGCTAGAAAGCCCCTCCAAGGCACCATGCAGAGCTTAGTCTGGGGGAAACTATTGCATAAGGAGAGGCATGGGTCTTCACCCACCCCAGCCCACAAGAGAAAACAGGGGCCTGAACAAGCCTTCCAGAGAAGCAATGCTGGGACAAAAATACTAACCCATGTTCCTTTTTTAAATCAAGCTAAAAATAAAAGTGGTTTTCCTTCAGTTCCTCCCTGCACCCGTCACGGCATGGGCACTCAGCATCTAGAGCAGTTCCCACGCAGCGTAACCCTGAAGCAGACAGACGTGCACGCTGGGTAAA